TTAGGAGGAGATAGGAAAACACTGTTCTTACTGCTGCAGACTGAAGAGCTTGGTAACCGAGTTAGCCTTTCCTCCAGAGGCCTCTAAGCACCAAGTACAAAACAGAATTACTGTGGTTGATGCAGATGTAAGGAAGCAAGAGCTTCAGCAGACTACTCATATTATACACAGTGCAGATTAGCAAATAAGCAGTAAAGGAAAAAAGAAAATTGTTTCTTAAAAAAATACTATAAACCAAAGAATAAAACAAAGGAACCCCACAACAGAACATTTTCTTAATCCCACAGTGTAAGATCATCTGGCAAAACTCATCCTTCTGAATTGCCTTGAGAAGGGGTCAGATACCATGAACGACACAAATAGATCAGAATCTTCAACGCTGCCTTTTCAAAAATGCCATCTGAACTCACTGCCAGGCTTCAGTCAGCAGACACATGGCTATTTCCCCATCTCTCTCATTTGGCAAAAGCTCATTAATCCCCCAAGTTTAACTCTCTACAGTGAAAAATATTAATAGGGCGAGCAGCTGAAAAACACAGTGATACAGACAAAGAGAGAGCAGAGATTTAGTAAGATTCAACACAAGAAGCAAACGGAAAAGCAGCAAAACAGTAAATAAGGTGGAATGCAATTTTCAATTCACTATTTTATTGTGCTGTGAGAATCAGGGTTATAAACACTCTCTCCCACATGTGGGCATCTGAAGCACCAGTGAAGTTGTTTGTCTTGCACCCGCATGGGAGGATCATAAAAGCATTCACTCAAACTGCTACCACCCCACAATCCCAAATGCCTTAGCATTAATTCTACATTAGCAAAAAAGAAGAGAAAACCTTCTCTAGGGATGAGGATGCATGTTCAACCAGAGGATCATTGTGCTCTCAAGACAAAAGCATAAGAGAAACAAGAAAGCAAAAAAAAAAAAGATAAAAAAAGGCAAACAGATGAAGCAAATTAAAAAGTTCAGTCATCCTCCAAGTCTGTGAAAGTTTCTGAAATATCAGACTGCTTATTTTGTCCCATCTTCCGCTAACAAATCAGAAGAGCCTGAAAAGTCCATTTGCAGATTTAGTGATTGTTTCAGGACCTATGGAAAAATCAAAAAACTCACGATGTTTAGCATCTCATACAATGATTCCTAAAGGTAGAGTTAACTGAAATGGCTCCATAACCCCTCCAAGTGTAGCACAGCACATCACAGCTGCCTCTACGACGCTATGACCCTGCAGTGACTCCTTGGACAACCATGATAAAAGTCAGAGCTCTTCTGTCAGGTTAATATGAAGTCATTGGAATATAAAGTCATTGGAATGATACTGGGTGTCATGTTGCTGAGGGTATACAATAGTTGGACAGTAATCACTGAAAACATCTAAGTGCTTGGTTTACTGTGGCTTCATCGCTCTTTGTAAAACCATGTGCTAAGAAAGATCACAAAGCTAAAAAAAAGGTGAGATTAATGTTAAGTGTTATGGCAGTAGAGAGGTGAAACTCACTTTAACAATATAAAAATCAAACACCATTGAAAATAGTGAGCAGGGAAGATATAGTATTCCTTATTAAAAAAAAATAAAATGCTATTCAGAGTCTGGTCTAATTACCATAGTGAATATGTCAAATTGGTAAGCAAAGCACAGTACACCAATGCTCACCAGAAAATTATTATGTATGGGGTAGCTGTTGGCAGCGCGATTAGCCCCTACCTAGACAGCCTTTTTAAACAATCTTAACCATCAAGAGGGATGAAGACAGGGAAAGAAAGGAAGAGAGATATTGGCCAATATTTGGAGATAAATTTTGACTGTACAAGTAGGTATATTTATAGTAGAGCCCAAGGACAACCAGATGAGCCAGCAGAAGTTGTTTTATCAGGCTCCGAAGACATCACCTCATTCTTAGCAGGATTCTGGTATCACATGCAGCTACCATTTAATTGTTATAGAACTATGATTGCATTGTTAGCAGAAGTTTAATTATATCATTGACATTAGTGATGCCATAACATCAAGCCCAGTAATAGTTCATAACAAAACCTACAATTAGCACAATTTTTCTCCTTTTTACCCCAACCAAAAGTATTCAGTGCGGAGAAGGCTAATAGTCCATAGAGAAGTGAGCTAGGGCTGAACCTGAAAGGACTGCTGGCTGGTAATTTAGTAATATGGTAATTAAAGTCTTTTCATGATGTAATTACACATCAACTACAAAAGGACAGCTGCTATACAACAGCGCCAGGGTACGTGGCATGAAATGATTAGATTTGAGAAGCTTTAGTGGTTAAACTGAATACCACAGACATAAGTCTGAGGTATAGCTGGCACAGCACGGCCCATTATTATTCAAGTCTCACACTTGCTGTTTCTTTAGTCCCATTGTGATAGTAACAGTTTGTTGTATACACCTTGGTCTTGTGATAGCAGAAGCTGCTTAAAACGCACCTTTATAAGCTTCAGCTGTTTTGAAATTATCTGGAATTAAAAGACTTAACTTCTTTTGGGCAACTGAATCAGTACAGATCAGGTTTGCATTGATACTTAAACAATTATTTACCATCACTGCAGCATGAAACCTCTTCTCCCAGACTCCAGTCTGTGGGAAAAGTAGCTTGATTTATTTGTAGGGGGAGTAGAGAAGAGAGAAAGAATGAGGACACACAAGAACTGCAACCAAGTATGTGAACTCAGAAACTAAAGCTCAGCTGAGCTTTGGCATTTAATTATAAAATCAAGCAACACAAGCCCCTCTTTCAGGGGTAGGAAACCACCAAAAAAACATGCTCCTCTTCAAGAGCAAGCAAACATTTTGATAAGTAGTTTCCTTATTTTATTTCTCACTGCACTCATTTGTACCTGTACAAAAGGCAAAGTTGACAACACAAGGCATGAGACAACAAAAATGAATATATTTTTCCAATAACTGAGAAAGAACTTCTTGGCTACATGATTGGGCTTTTAAAAATACATGACTAAAACACTGTGCACCTTGGCATTGGGTGGACAAACTCAGAGCTAAAATGTCCTTTTATTGATAAGCACCAACTTGGATGTGTCAGAACCATTGTTTTTCTCCCTTTCTGAAGCATGGGAAGTAGGCATTTGGCAGGAGAGAGCCTATATTATAGGCTTTAAAGGTTTTATAGAATGAATGAGCTAAGAAAATTCTAGAAGTGGGTATATCTGAAAGTCAGAAAGTTTGGGAATGCAGAGAGCCCTCCTCATCAAAAACAAGTTTTCCTTGAAGCCTGTCTGCAAAGAAAAAATCCAGGGTAGCTTGGATTTGGAGACCCTGCTACCTGTTGGATCTGAGGAATGCATAGAAAAGCTTTAAATACAGTTCAAACAAGATCTAACTTTGCCAGTGGTTTACCTTCTCATTTCTACTCTTCTTCTGAGGAGATGTTTGGATGGGCTTAAAGATCACTCAAAGCCTCCTGAATTCCCAGTGGCTTGAACTATGCAGGGCACTGGGTCTACTTCAAGATCACTATTGATGAGATTTTCTACCCATGGGTATCAGGAGGCCCCAGTGTAGCTGAGATTGTTCTCCAGGAGAGAAGGAGGAATCCTGGATAAGAACTGAAAGCAGGCAGTCATTTAAGAAAGAGATCTGAGCTGCTCAGAAGTGTGTCCTGCATAGCCAGTTTTACATAGCGCAGATGAAAGCTACTTTTATTAAGGGACAGTAACAAGTTTTAGCCAACAGTTGAGTCAGTAGAAGAGACTCAACTGCTTCTTAAATATCACAATAGCACAGACAAAACATGGTAAGAGTTAAAATGGAATGTAGCTTGTGGCTCTGACAACGAGAGAGGTGGTCCACGCTTGCAGCTATCCTGCGTGAGGACTACTGCAACATTCAATGTGCAAAGGAGATTCAAACCGTCACTTGTCAAGGGGAACTTGGTAAACCATTTGTAGGATACACACCACATTCAACACAAAAGTAAGAATTACCGACATGAAAAAAACAGGAACTTTATGCGTGTCTTACCATCTATACATTTTAAAGCACAAATGGCCAACAAAACCCTTGTTCTGAAGCTATAAAACACTGCTCGAGCCTCAGCTCTGTAAATACATGGGTATACACAATACAAGTATGATTTGTGTGTGACAAGCCTTGGATGCAATTAAATGCATAGCTCTCCAACAGCCTTCAGCTAAAGACAGGCTGGTTCAATATCTCTGCAGACTTAAAATCATTCAGCTGCTAACAGAGCATAGCAGCCTGTGTCATGCAGAGAACTGCACTAGGCCAGTTTTTTTGGCACCGCTCTGCCTGTACGTGTACGTGTCCAAGGCTTGCAAGAACAGTGTCACTCCCTCTCTCTGAGTGCAAGCGAGCAATTTCCTAGCAGGTTTCCAGGCATAGCTAAGTCAGAGGAAACTTCTCACGTATGATCAAGCATCCAACTTCTAACTAAAAAATAAAAAAAAGCACATGATAATTTATGAACTACAGCATTCAGCTCTGAGAAACAGACAAATCTGAGAGACAGGACACAGAAAAATCCTAACCTGTGATAGTGCTCCTTCCTCCTCTCCTTTTCTCCTGCAGAAATGGCAGCTACTTGCTTACATATGACTAGCCTTCAATTATATCAAAATTTGAGAGCTAAGCGAGCCCTTCCAAGGCCTGTGGACAGGGGCCACAGGACTTCCTATTGAATCAGTTCAGCTCTACTTGCTCTTCCAGTTTGATTCAGACACAGCAACCTTGTCACACAGTGCTCTACAGATGATTCAACATCCCCTGTTTGGCTATTTAGTGATTTTCTACCACTCTACAGACACCACGTTGTTCAGAAACTGCTACAAGGAAGAGTCAACCTCTCTGAAAGCATTCACCACTCTAACAGACAGCAGAAGCTTTCACTGCCGTAACAACTTGGTTCTGTGAGAACTCCTGCTCCAACAGCACAATGACACTGCCTGTCCCTAAGGAAATCAAACCCAGTAGATTTGGGGCGAAGGGAGAGTCAGGGAGACACAGCTACTCACCTGCTGTCACCGGCATTTGCCACGTAGAGCTTCCCCAATAAATACACCACAACAAGGGCTGTGCAGCCACCAGAAATATTATACACAGTCCTCTCTCGTTCTATTTGTAAATCCTAGAAGAAAAAAAAAATTATTAAGATAGCTTTGTGATTACCGTTTTAGAAAATAAAGATTCCCCTAAAAAGGGACCTTCTTTCCTAAACTGCAAGCCCCACTTACTTTCTTTAATCTTACAGCTATGGCCACGTGTTCAGAGATGAACAGGAAGTCAAAGAGTACCTATTACTTATCCTAAGAAGTTGTCTGGGAAAATTCAAGACAGAAGATTGTAAATACAAGGCACCAAGGAATAAATGGCAAATCTGAGGGCTGCACGAGATTTTGCAATGGGAAAAAAAGTACAGAGAAGGCAAAGACAAATGTAGTTTGACAACAGGTACCTGGTGATATAACTGCACAGGGCTTCACATAGACAGGAAACAATTAATGGAGATCTGCCTGTGGCGCGAGTAACAACCTGCTCTCCAAAAAGAGGGCTAGGATTGCGGAGCGTGTACACTCCTACTACAAGGCTGTCTTTCAGAAGAAATTTAGTTTGTGCCTTCCTCCCCTGAGCTTAACTGGGGAGAGAGGAAAAGGGTCATTAGAAGAGCATTTACTGATACATACTCAGCAGCCACAGAGTTTCCAAGGTGAATCGTGGTTTCAGGTTGTGTGTCATCTCACTGCTTTCACAAGGCTACAGAAACATTTAATTTATGTTCATGCACAGGCACAAATTTAGGGATGTATATACCTACTCAAGCAGTTTTTCTTGTGCTCAGATCCCAACTTTTAACTGATTCCAAGTGAAATATTAATAAACAAAAAAACAAAAGAAATTCTTGCTGCTTAATAGAAGCGCCGAACACAAGACACATCTATCACTGACAATCAGTCAAGCCCAGGAGTATACATAGCCCCAGAAAAGCATACAGATCGTGTAAAAACATGTAAATGAGCTTTGCAGCGTGCGATACGTTTTCAGCAAAAATTGAATCGTATGCCAAGGAACTCATCCCGCTGCCTCTTTGTTCAGCTTGTGACAAAAACGCAACATGCTACAAATTACCCTCCTCTCCAATGGCCGGAATTAACCCCAATTTGGGACTGCACACAGGGAGCGGCACTGAACATGGCTCCGGCAGGCGCAGGCTGATCTCCTTAGGCAGATCTTGCCCATTTGGATGTGTTTTTAGTGCAGATGCATTTGCGTGTGCACACACACATATATTCCGAACTATATTTCCGCTGCATCCCACTTTGTGGTGAGCAACAAGCGGCTCAAATCGCCTGTGCCTCGGGCTGCGGAGTTGAGAGTTTTATTTTCGAGCTAAATTTATCTGAGGGGAAAAGCGCCACAACAAATGCTAACCGTGACAGCTGCAATTTGAGTGAAAATCCGCAGGGCTGGAAGCGGCCGGGGACGGCGCTTTGTTCCCGGCACGTTTCGGGGAAGGGCGGGTTTCTCGGGCAGCGGCGAGGACGCGCGGCGGCTGAGGCGGGAGGAGATGGCGCCTCACAAATAACACCATTCCCCTCACAAACAACGCGATTCCTCACGGGGTGGCCGAGGCTCTGTCCCATTTTCCGTGAATCCAGCCTGGAAAGGGGGCTGGCAGCACTGTGCTCCCCCTGCGGCCATCCCTCAATGTGCCTGGGGACTGCACCCGGCCTCTCAGTGCCCACATTTACAAATCATCTTTTATTTTATATTTTTCATGGTGGTGGTCAGTGAGGACGAGGAGGAAGACACCCCAAAGTCCAAAAAATCCCATCTCAGAGAAGCTTTGCTCCTAGATGCAGGTCTGTCCTAAAATGCCACCTCATATAGTCTTACCACAGGGAAGTTTGATTTTCCTCCCCACGGCTTCTACATATCTTTAAACCAAGCTACAGTTTAAAGGAAGCAGATATTTCTAACTACTAAAATAATTTAGAACTGACAAATACTATGGTGACTCTCCAAAGCTCTGCCAAGAATTCTAGGAACCTCCATCTCTGCTGCTCAGAGCATCCTTTTGAGACTTTTAAACAAAATACGTTTCCTTACCTGGCTTCAGCTCTATCATACAGGTACTCTGCAAGTGCTGGAATGCCAAAATTAAGTTTTATTTCTTTGAAAATCAGGATCATTTGTTACAGGAGAGAAGATGAATAATCCCTAAAGGGCTCATTTATCAAGAGTTTCCTCAACTGAAACTAGACGGCTGTGTACTGGGTTCTTCCAAGAGTTCGAGTCCTAACACACCAAGATCATTTATCCTTTTTTTTTTTCTCCTCCTCTCTCTTTCTTTCTTTTTTCCTCCTTTTAGACTCTTACATTTAAAAAGTAACAAGTCTCTTGAAAATGAGTTGCTCAGTCAACTCTAACCACACACCTAATGATATTTAGAATTAAGGTTTACTGCTCTGAACTTCCAAAGAATATTCAGTTCCTGTTTTAAATTGGTATTACACAGTTTGATTTTTTTTTTTTTTAGAAAATATAGGGGTACGGGAGAAGCTTTACTACATCACAAATTGGAAACAGGAAAAAATAAATAACTAAATAAAATAGAAAGTCACCCTGCCACTAATTCATTCTGATGTGGAGCGGCTTTTAAGGAAATTCTTTCTGATAGCAGTGCTGGGAAACTGGTGCAGAACACATTTCGCAAAAAAGGGCAGAAGACCCCGAATGCCTCTGAAGACCCAGGAGGTACCTGTCACTGTGGAGGGTCTTATTCTAGAAAAGTCTGAGTACATACAAAGCTTTCCTAATCTTCTAGCTGCAGAAAGATTTCAGAGTATTATTTTTTCCTTCTTTTCTGTAGTATATGCAACTCTTAACAGCAATAGCTGACCTTGCCCTGGATTTCTGAATCTCCCTCACAGCAATATGCTTGCACTAGAAGTGCTGGAAAGAATCAAACGATGCATCTTTCTGCCCGAAAAGGCGGCACATGCCACTTTCTCAGACCCTGATGGAGCTGGAAAACTTCACTCACCACACTGGAAATGGATACAAATTGCTGGCTGGAGTATCAAGGCCGAAGAAATAAAACATGCCATTAACAGTGATGACAACACCTTTTATAGCTGCCAACTGCTCTTAAAAGAGGATTTCTGCATCTCTGTTGGAGCTATCGTTCATTGTGGAGAAAGCAGCTAATTTGGTCCCTGCTCCATCTCCTCTTTTTAAGATGTGTGAAGGAAAGGGCAGTTACAGGCCCTACACTCCTAAAGGTCATTTACACTTTATAAATCCGCTCTCTAAGCCTCACTAATTAAGGGAGTGCAGGGAGAGGATGCCCCATGAGGCCAATTTATAGCATCTTTAGTTACATCTCGAGGGTGGTCTGGGGAGAGCAGGGGTTACCCCTCCACAGACCACAGAGCAGCCTGTGGATGTGGCTGTCTCCCAGGTCAGTCGGCCTTGGAGAGGAGCCTGGTGCCACCAGAGTGCTGCCCAGAGCAAACGCGCCGGTTCACCACGCTGGTTAGCAATGTCTTGTGAGGGAGGAGGAAGATGACGGCACCAAGGCAGTATTTTCCATTGTCGGAGGCGGCTGGTACCCATGGCCACGGCTTGCTCGGCCCACCTCGGGGACCGGCGGGGGAGAGGCTGCCGCAGGCCGCGCTGCGCGGACAGGCCGGCAACGCTCCTCTGCGAGGCCGCAGTGCTCCTCGTGGGGCTCCAGCTCCTCTCGCCATCGTCCATCAGCGGGGAGGACACGGCATGGAGCTGCTGGACGAGTGACGGGGCCTACGCAAGGCCAGTGTGTGCCCACGGGCAGCACCGGCGCTGTGCAAGCGTGAGAGGAGAAAGCAGCAAACGTGCTGTGACGGAGAGCCAGGGCTATCCTTACCTGATGGTAAGGCATTCAGAAGACAGGGGCTAGCTAAGCGATTAAATCAGCATGTCATCATTATAACAAGTTTGCACATTACTGTAACAACTAACATAGTTGCTTTTCCTAATCCTCAGAGTTGGGTCCTTTCCTCTAGAATTTGAATCTGGTTCTGACAGACAGAAGCTTTACTATTTACACACAGCGTACTGGGTATCTGTTAGCCAAAAATTAGAAGTCAGTTCATATGTCTGGAGCCCTAAAGTCAAAATTCACTCTTACATCTGTTTTGGCTCTGTCAAAATAAAAAGGTCTCCAAAGTTCTTGCGCCACTGTTGCAACCTTTCACTTATTTCAATTGGCTATATAATCAGAGATTTTTTTTTCTTCAGGAAAAAAGAGACACATATATTGCACTCTCAAGATGAAAGCCATTTTGATCTGAAACATCTTGCAAACCCACCTGTCTAGGTTTCATTTGCATTGAAAGCATATTAATAGAAAGCATGATGCAATGGATTACACAACTATACCTTTCCAATAAAGTATTAAGCCTGATTCTGAGGCATGTTTTAATAATCAGTCAGGGTTCGGTGTGGCACTGGTGCTTTCTCTCCTCAATCTTTAAGGCAGATACTAAGAAGATATGCATCATATATAATTACCCAAGGTGAAATTCAGATAAGGGATTCTACTTTGATGCCCAGTTTACTCTGAGAACACACCACAGAATACAGCACACACACACACAAAAAAAAAAAAAAGAAAAAAAAAAGTTAAGCTAGGTTAAAAAAGTAAAGAAAAACTCCCACCAGGTGAAAAAAGACTCCTTCACAGTGGTGGGTGTTTCAGGAAGCAGCACTCAGAAGCTACCTATGTGTCCAGGAACACGAGCTTTCCCCAGGTGCCAGGTGGTGCTTGCTGGCACGAAACCCTTGTAAATTATGCAAATCCCAACTGCACTGAATTCACTCAACACCCCGCAGGAAGGTCTACAAAGCAGAGCCTAATCAACAACGTATGGTGAGGAAGTTCAGAACCCTCATTCAAGCAGTATAAACTAGGAGGAAGTCAGAGGCAGGAGGAAGCTCCCTACTTCCCTCCAGCCATCCACGTCGTCACAGGCACAGATGAAACACGAGAGTGCTGATCTTGTGAACTGCTCTCTCACACAGACATTGAAACAAGAGAAAAGCATTATTTTGCCTAAACCAACTGCAAACAGAAGACATCACCCAGAGATTTAAATCAATATAATTAGTCCATTGCTTTCCTTAATTTAGACCTCTTATTTTATAAGACATGCTTTTAAAGTAAAAGGTAATGTCAGGACTGTATTGCATTGTGGTAACCACTTTGGGTCTCTACTGTAACAAAGGCAGAAGATGAAATTCAGTCCTCATAAAAAGAAATAAAAGAAAAGAAAAAGTGGGAATTAAGGTACTTGATAGGCACAGAGAGCATAATCAGATACTCCCAGAACATCATCTTGGATAAAAGGGTAGATTACTAAGACATGCACGTGGAATACCCAGACAGCACATCTGTAATGAGCTGTACAGGCTGCCTAAATTCCTGTTGCATTATGGATTTCTCAACACTGCAATGAACTGTGATGGGTCCAGTCCTACAGCAGTCTGGCATGAGCATCCCATCCTCAGTCTTGAATAATACACGGGATAATTAGGGCAAACACAGCCACCCTGATCAAGCACACCAAAGAGGTGGGGGCAAAGCAGAGCAATGAAAGCTCTGCTCCTGTGGACGTGCTCAGGAAGGCAGTGTGGGAAGACAGTTGTCCATGGCTGCCCTCAGAATAAGGGCTAGGCAGAGCACTCAGAAACAGTGCTTTAGCTCTCCTTTTCCCTTTCCAGCTCCATGAAACTCAAATCTTTCCTGTATGTGGAGCCAGTTTCAACATAAGGAAGAGACAGTCATGTCACACACCTGACAGACCTCGCAGTAAAAGTGCTCTTTTGGCCTTAAAACTTCTCCAACGGAGGCAGAGGGGCACCAATTTCCTCTCAAGGGTGCTCTGCACCCCTTAGGGAACGTGCACAGGCAGTATCATCATCTTCCCTGCTTCCTCACCGAAGAAGGGAACAAGTTAGTCTCCCTTTCTGAAAAGGGGCACACAGATTTTCACATTTCCCTATCTGCATTTTTTGCTAACAGAGGCTTAACCTACTAGTTGCAGTGCGTCCAACTCTTATAAGTCTTCTCATATGCCACACATTTGGCTGTGCATTTGCTCCTTGTACCTAGACACCTAAAAGTTGGCCACTGCTATACCCAGATCAGATGGAGATCTTCCTGTCTGCACTTTCTTGGGAGAAAGAATTTAGAATTAGAACAACCACTGCAGCCTAGATGCACATGCTAAACATTCATGTAGATCTGGAAAACGACGACCAAATTCTGCCTCTGCACCTCTTATTAGGCAACAAATAAAACCTCTGAGAAATATTCACTAGTTCAAAAGTCTCCTGCTCAAAAAGAGGCTTTCCTAAAAACCAAAGTAAATGCAAAGCAAAGTAAACCATAAACAGGGCAGTGGTGTGCTCTCAGGGATTTCTGATGAAATTCTTCCCTGTTTGATGGCACATGAGTCATACACAGGGAACTGAGGCATATTGCAGCTTTGTCAGAGGAAGAAGAACAGTTCTCTGCCTCACAGGAGTATAAGAGGGCAAGTTGTTGAGGCTCTTAAACACCGTCTGAGTAGGGATGCAATTACCCAACTTGGGGGGCAAGGGGGAGGAGGAAATGGAAAAACCCCATAAACATTCTTTTTCTTTCTAAGCAATGCAACTGATTAAGTTATGGAACAAGGAGCCAGCATCCCTAAAATATACCTACCATTTCCTTGAACGCGCTTTCTATGGCCCCGATGACGAGGCACTCGTGGGGGATCTTCTTCTCGGTGAAGAAGCGCGTTGGAGGTGTGCTGGGCGAGCCCGGGGCGCCCGCGCCGCCGCGCAGCGAGGCCGCCCGCGTCAGCGTCCTGCTGTTGGCCGCCGCGTGCTCGGGCTCCTCCCCCAGGCAGGCCGGCGGCAGGACCTGACCAGGCCTAATTCCAAGACAAAAAGGCCAATCAAGACCCCACCTGGTACCTTTTCAGCCACTGGCATTAGACCTAGAACCTCAGCCAGATGGCTGGTAATGACAAGACCTGTTCCCCACCAAAGCGACTTGTAGGCAAGACCTCTCTGCACTGGCACATGGGCCAGTGTCAGGCTCTCTCTACTTGTGCCAAGACTGGTACCAGAATGGGACAGAGGGATCTGGTATGGTGGACACAAGTGGATTCAGATGCACTCAACACAGAAAAGCCTACACATTCATCACAGTTCCTCTCAATCTTTCAGAAAAAAAAAGAGTTTGCTACACAGTACTAGTTATACACCCTCCACTCAGAAGGGCCAGGCAAGTGCCTTGGTATAGCTCCCAGCACAAAGACACGCTTTTAGAGCTTGCCCCTTAGCTCAGGTCCCAGCACGCTACTCTACACAGCTGCTCTCATATAGGCAGAATATTTATCTAAAAAGAGTGATTTTTTCCCTAGATTTCATTGTTAAAAACAAGGTATATATATATGATAATTTTAAATACTTGTCCAGCAACATGCATTTACCAATAGAGGGTAAGACTTTCAAATACTTTTTAGCTCTACAGTTTCCTTGTAACAGGTAATAATGTTCCATTCTCACTCCAAGCCGGAGTGAAACTTTTCTTTTCTTTTCTTTTCTTTTCTTTTCTTTTCTTTTCTTTTCTTTTCTTTTCTTTTCTTTTCTGTATCTAAAAAGAGTGATTTTTTTCCTAGATTTCATTATTAAAAACAAGGTATATGTGATAATTTTAAATACTTATCCAGCAACATGCATTTATCAATAGAAGGTAAGACTTTCAAATACTTTTTTGCTCTACAGTTTCCTTGTAATAGGTAATAATGTTCCATTCTCACTCCAAGCCGGAGTGAAACTTTTCTTTTCTTTTCTTTTCTTTTCTTTTCTTTTCTTTTCTTTTCTTTTCTTTTCTTTTCTTTTTTTGGTATTTTGCACTGGTCCACTTCTGAAATAGAGCCCATTAATCCAAGCATGGAAGCAGACCAAACCCCAGGCTGCATAAACTCTGATCTGCTGGAAAACCACTATGAAGCTGTAACTTGGATTACCTCAACTCTTAGAAAATTCACCTAGAAAATATGCAGTCTCTTTTTCCCCCTCTATGTTTTCTTGATCCTTCATCTTCTCTCAACTATGCTGAAATAAGTGTTAGTAAGTCAGATGTGGGGGATTCATATAGACTTAGAAACGAATGTTTTGCAAGGGACAGGAAAAAAGCCAAAACAGCTCATATTGTGAAAGCATAAGCTACATCTCACTGCAGTCAAAGAACTTAAAGATTATATTTTTTAATGTTAAGATGACTGTGTTAAGCTGACTGTGGTCTTAATTTAGGATGACAGACATCATAGCAACTCCTCCACAGCTATGATACAGATGAGCTTCATTCTCTCAAGAACTGCTCACTTACCACAACACCTTAGAGGCCATGCACCACCTGAATTCTACCACGTAGTGCCCAGGAGTGGAAGGGACAAAACTCAAGATAAGCAGCGAGAATCCCATGCACTGGAGGTGGATTTGAAGAGTTGCAAGAAATAAGGAGATCAGAAAAGCAGGAGGAGAGCTGCTTTCAGAAAAAGGAGAGTCCAGAGCTGCAACACGCACATCCTGCTGCCTTCTCTCACAGAGCTTGAGATGGCCACGGCCTCTGCTCCTCAACCGATAACTAACAACACAGCCAAAGTGAGACAAAACCCACAGCTGATGAATCAGTATATATTTACTAGATTTACTAGATTACTATAGATTTAGATTACTATATATTTACTATTTACTAGATGTGCTTCCAAAAGCACTACTTATTTCAAGTTTAGGTACAGGGCTGTGAACTGCAGCTCCTTTTAGCTTCTGCCCTCCCAGAAACAGAGGCACCAGCCACTGACAAGGCCGCAAAGACAAACCTTAATGCAAAATCTCCTTTGGCAAACTTTGCAGGTAGACAGATACACCTTCACCACGGCTTCACCCTGCTCGAAGCACAGAGTCCATTGCTGAACAAGCATCATTACTTTTAGATTCATTTGATGAAATTCATGTTTAAAAAACACAATTAAAACAACTAGATAAAACTCTAGTGAATTTTTACCCCTGTGGATATGAGTGGCAGTTGTGCTAGTTTGCTCTTGGACAAGAATCACTCCAGGATCATACAACAGTTGGCAGCAAAGTTTCACTTAAGCAGTTTTAACAGATAACTGGATTACTGACCAAAAAAAAAAAATATGTGAAATCCATGCCGAATGTGAAATATTTTGTCAACAGAAACAACGGTCACAAAGTGAAAGTATTTCAGTCAAAAATCGAAACCGTTTATTCTGAGCAGCAGCACTGTGCCTCCTGGGAGCTGTACATGGAATTATTTCTGCTCCCATTCTCCTCTCAGGGCTTGGCTCCCTGGCCAAGCTCTGTGTCTCATGATGCACTGTGGATAATGGCACTATGGCTTGTGCCTTCATCTCATTCAGAGGGTGGCCTTCCTTGTTGCCATTGGAGGAGGAAAAGAGAAATTTATATATGTGGAAATACTTTTTCCTTCCATCTATACTATTTTGAATTCTGATATTTTAATCAAAAAAAATTGTAACAGCTACAAATAAGAACTAAGATATAAATTAAAAAAAATCCAACTTTTCTTGAAAATTTCCACCGCCTCTCCAAACCCATATTAGAGCTTGCCAGAAGATAGAGGAGAACAGATATGAACTCAATCCAAGCACAATGCAACAACTGTCAAGACCGGCAAAGAGCTGCTCATGTCCGAGCTCTCCCACGTGTTTTGCGTGGCTGGTTTCTGCGGTTCTCCCTCTCCATCTCCCCTCCAGCCTTGCCCTGGCGCTGGCAGCGCCTCAGCACAGACCTCAGCGCAAAGGGCTGGCCCAGCACCCCAATGCACAGCAAAGGCCCTCAGTGCAGGCAGAGCGGCTTTGCCATCTCCTCAGGAGCACTCCAAAAGCTCCAGCTCCAGCTGGAGCTCCAGCTTCCTCCAAAAGAGATGGCTCAGAGGCAGTGCAGCTCTTGGTACTTCTTGGCAGTGTTGCCTGGTGAAGCCAAAATTCAGAGGAATATCCAAAGCAGAAAAATCCCTGAACAGCTGGACATAGATGGATATCTAACTGTCTTCCACACACCTGCTCCTGCCTGCAATCCGAAAATATTGGTCTGCTACATCTTTTTTCATCTTTTTTTTTTTTTTTGGTCATCCCTGATACAGAAACAGTCATGATTATTTTAGCAGACGGGCTGGCAGACACCGCTCCAGAGGTGGTCGTCTTGCTTTTGAGTTCTGCTGCACCTTCCCTGGAGCAGAGGAAACTTGCAGCCCGTCACTGACGTGAACATGGGCATGTCAACCATCACCGTGGCTCTTCGTGTGCATTTCATCCATGTCTGTCTCTTTGTGGGCTAGTAACTCCTAAACATGGTGCAGTGGCTACATTTTCAGACACTTCTGAGGTGTCTAGATTCCTCTCTAGATTTCCCCTTGTATTTGATAGAAAGAAAAATTGCACTTTCAGACCATCCTCATCTCATTCCAAGGTAAACTTGCTGCTGCCTATTGACCACAAAAGGAAGCTAGATAGCCAGTTGAGAGGTCTATAACAAGCAATTGAAGTGGGAGGAGATGACTGCCACAAATGTTTCTCTTATACACATATTCTTTGTAAGATGCCCTGGGGCCTTATCTTCAGTTGGGATTTACACACATTACTGTAACACAAATATTGGCCTCCAGAAACTTCTAGGCATCCCTACAAACCTTCATCTGCTTGAGTACTATCAGAGAAAACAACCTTGACACATCCCATTAGCTGTCTAAACAAAGAAGCAGAAATGAACTCCTTTCCCCTTGCCCTATGAACAAAACCAGCTCCTCTGAAAAAGTAGAATTATCCCCAAGCCATACCAAAGTGACAAGAATGGGATACACGGTGCAAACAAAGCCAAAGCCCAGAGAATAAACAGAAGGTACATGAAGGCCCTTCCTTCCACAGTTGCCACAGTTGAGTTGTCCCTTGTGGCCACAGTCTATTTTGGCGTGCGTATGCATGGCTGTTCCTTCCACTCTCACGTCCAAGGAGTCTGGACTTCTTCCCAACGAAGCCCAGAAAGAAAGCGTTAGCATCAGAAAAACTCTCGAGAAAGCTAGCAGGAATTGATTTCTCTATGACAGTGTCCTGCCAAGAAGAGTCTTTCCACAATCAATCTCCTTTTATTCCTTAACTGGCCAGAGCAGACAACTGGGAGTACGATCAGTCAACACATGCTGATATATTTCAGATCTTGTTTCTTTTAAAGGTTCAGATTTGACAACATTCTGAACAGCCACCAGATGTACAAAGAGCAAACAAATCCGTCCCTGCACCAACCTTACAATTCATTTTCAGGATGTGCTAGGAAATTTAATAAGCTTCAGACTCCCCAACTGCTGACCCAGCTTTCAGCCAGGCTCAGCAGTCTCCTGGGTATCGCGATTTTAAGCTATAATTAAGACATGCAAAGTTTTGAATCAAGTAGCGGATGCGAAATCATGACCGTAAAATGCTCATATATAGAAATTACAAAAGCTTAGATTATAGAGAAAAAAATGAGCAGCCTTAACAATATGCAGCAATTTATTTAGGACAATTTTTTCACATAAGCTAGTAAAGTGATCTTACAATGCAGACCTTCAGAAATTGTTTATTCAGCTAATTCCAAGTTGGGAAATAAATCAGGGTGCCATTACATTTTTATTCTAAAAAAAACCAACCAAAAAAAAACCTCAGCTACTACTCTTCTGAATATGAAGCACATTACAAGAGACAGTAGAACAGACCTTTGTTTAAGAAACAAACAACCCTCACCCCCCCAAAAAAGAAAAAAACAAAACACACACAAAACCTCACAAAACCCACAGATTGAGACCCAATAATTCACCTCCCTCATACCCGCTTTCTTAAAT